CAATTTTGGATTTTTTGATTTCTCGGTTTTGTAATTTTCGATATTTCAGTTTTAAAATGCAGCTTTTTCGATTTTTCAATTTTAAAACATTTTATTTAATTATTGGTGTCTTGAAACTTTCAAAAATCCAAAATCTCGTTTTTTTCAGTTTTTCAAAATATCAGTTTTAATGTATTTTGTTCTTTTTGTTGAAACATGAAAATTTAAAAATCCAATATTATTGCTTTTATTGTGTTTATTTATATAAAGCAATCTAACTTTTGAGAACTGGTATCAGTTTTTGATTTTTAAAGATTTTTCAGTTTTTAGATTTCACAGTTTTTTAATATAGAAATTTGTAGATAATTTTCGAAGGTAATGGTAATATTGAAAAATTGAGCTGTTGACAAAGTTGCCTAAAAATCCACAAAAAATTCTCAATATGCTGGTACAAAAAATATAGCACATTTATATCCCCTGAAGATTAGAAATACTGGGTTTGAAATTCAATTTAAAAAAAAATCACCAAAATTGCCAAAATGAACCCGAAAATAAGTTCTATAAATCGTAATCTACAAAGAAAAAAATATATATTTTTAGATAGTTTTCGAACGTGGTCAAATAAGGTCAAAATTTCTATATTGAAACACTGAACTTTTGAAAAAGTTGCCTAAAAATCCACAAAAAATTCTGGAAGATACCTCTCTATGTGCTGGTTCGAAAAATATAGCATATTTTTGATCCTGAAGCAAGATTTTAGAAATATTCGGTTTTGAATACATTTTTCTTTAATATACAAAATTGCCAAATTTATTGCGAGATTCTGGAAAACTGGAAGTCAAAAAAGTCAAAATTTCCGTATTGAAAAACAGATCTTTTAAAAAAGTTGTCTAAAACTCTGCAAAAAATTCAAGGAAATAGATCTCGACATGCTGATTCGAAAAATATGCCACGACTATGGTCCAACGCAAAATTTCAGAAATATTCGATTTGAAATTCAATTTCCAAACCGAATATTCCTCAAATCTTAATCAATAAAAAAAAGGGCCACATTTCATCGGGAAATTCTGGAGAGACTGCGAGTTTTCGAAGAAATGAGGCCGAAATTAACTTAAAAAAAAAAAAATTACTTTGGATAATTTTCAAAAGTACTAGAAAAAAGGTTGGAATTTTTATAAGAAAATTGAGCTTTGGGAAAAGTTGTCCAAAAATTCACAAAAATTCACAGATAGATAACGCTCTCCACGTGCTGACTCGAAAATTATAGCGTGTTTATGGTCCCTGGGCACGATTTTAGAAATATTGAATTTAAAAATCGAGTTTTAAAAAAAATCTAAAAATTGCCATTTTATTAGGTGATTCTGAAAAACAGATCGGAGTCTTCGAAAAAAAAGAACTTCTGAAGGTCGACATAAACAAAAAAACTCTTCAGGTAATTTTTGAAGGTGCTCCAAGAAAGGTCGAAATTTTCATATAGGTGGAGTATTGCAAAAGTCAAATTTTTAATATATTTCAAAATTTTCATATTGGATTCTATAATGTGCTAAGAATTCTCGAAAAAATGAAGGCAAAACAACTTCTGGGGGACGAAATTAACAACTTAATCTATTGTGAAAAGATCTTTTTTTTTAAATTGGAGCTTCGAAAAATTATTCTACGGTCTCGAAACAATATTTTAGAAGCCGAAAGTAACTTCTGCAAGTCGAATTCTCTAAAAAAAATATCTTTAGGTAATTTTCAAGCTGATCGAAATTTTACAATTAAACAAAAAAAATTCAAAATTGTCATATTTCATTGGGCGATTCTGAGTTTTCGAAAAAAAAAAAGAACTTCTAGAACTCAATTCTACACAACAATTTCTTCTAGGAATTTTGAAAGGTACTCGGGAAAAGATAATAATTTTTGTTTTTTAAAATTTGAGCTTTGAAAAATTAAACTTTAGACGAAGTTACCTAAAAATATCCAAAAAATTCTCATACAGAATACAGATCAATGTTCCGGGAGTACTATTTTAGAAATATTGGATTTGAAATTCAATTTTTTTCATCCTAAAAGTTGACAGAAAGAGCTTCTGGAGGTCAAATTTTATAAAAAAATCTCAAAATTATTCTTTGCGACACTATTTCTTAGAAGAAAAATTCAAAATGGGATAAATAAGACCAGCAAAATTTTAGTATACGATAATTATAAAATTTTGAAGTAATTACATACATATTTTGAAAAATTCGGAAATCGCAAAAACTTGCTTTTGTATTCCATTAGCATCATTTATAAAAAAATACTTCCTTGAGGAAGTAAAAACCGATTTCCTTAAAAAACCCGAGCTAATTAAGCCAGCCATCACTCTAAGTGCATTTATAGAATGCCATTTTTTGCAAATTAACACACTGTATCGAATAACATTAACAAACACATTAAGATATTAAACAAGATGCAATAAAACCCAATTAACAAACTTAACGATGCCCAGTTAACACAAAAACTAAAAAGGAGATGTATTTTGCTCGCTTTTACATTCTCCAAATTCGTATCTTAATCCCCAGCCAAAATAAAAACAAAACCGCACTCAGAACCCGATCGACAACATTATTTTTATTTCCGAAAAGAATTTAAACAACTTGTCGACCCCGATGTCAACATATTAAAATCCATTTTTACACATCCTCGAAACGTGAAACAGCGGAAAAACGAACATTAAACCTGAATAAAGTTATTTTAGGCTCGCTTTGTGCAGGCGAAACTCGAAAAATCTTCACCTCAGACGGATCAGGATCAAACAGAAATTTGTTATTCGCGATTCGCAAACGCGTGACAAGCAGAAAATTGAAAAAACTGGAGGAAAAGTTGTATTTCTACGTATGTTTTATCAATCAATAAATATATAATCGGACATTCATGAATTACAAGATGCGGTGATAAGGTTTTCCAGGAAATTAAACTTATTTCAAGTGGGCGTATCTTTGCCAGTTTATTGATTTAATGTTTACAAAAATTGTTAAGAATGTATCCCATTAATACAGTGGGTGTTGCAATACGATAAAGCGTATTGATGTTTAGCAAACGATTAACGAGATATAGATTAAAACAAAAAGTGCGCATTAGATAATTTAGAAGTTGGCTAAGCAGAATTTAGTTAAAATTTCTGAAAAAGTGTACAAGTGTACATTGTATTAATAAACATTTTGTCAAGGGAATAAGGCATAAATTTTAGTCGACCTTCTGTAGTCATTAAATTAATTCAAATGCAGTCCCAAAATTTATTATTTGACTAATAAAATCGCCAACGAACAGGTGAAAACGGAAGAGTAATTTACATTTTCCACAAAACATGACAATCCTATTAAAATGTTTCCTTTAGTTTATGTTGAGGCAAATTATTTATTCTGTTTTAAAGCAGATGTACATTGTAATTATTTTGTTCTTACTATAATAATTTTTGAACTTTGACATACATATGCCAGTGTTGATTTTTTCCGTTATATCTTATTTTAATAACCTGTTAACAGTTTTTTGGTTTATAAAACAACTAAAAATGTTTACGCATGTACGACAAACTGTTTTAACTGTCAGTTAAGAGCAATTTTCAAAGAACCACACTGTTTTTATGGTATCTCGTGACCAAAAAAATAAACATTGACGTTGAATTTAGCGTTTTTTCGACCAAAATTGTAATGGACAATGTTTAAATTTCGAAATCATATACAATACGCAACTTTTCGTAACCCAGAAAACACAACGTTACTTAAACTAAAAACCTTAAGACGCTTTAGCAACACAACTAAAATTTATTTAATGCAAAAATAATGACGGCTTTCGACAATAATTGCAGTCTTACGTGCACGATAAAATCCGAACATAACATTGCTCAAGATTTATCACCAAATAATTTGACACACTTTAAAGACTAAAGAAAATTTTATCTCCCCAGGTAACCATTGTTTTTCCGAAACATAATAAACTGTAGATAACCTAAACCCAGTCGAATCACGTGTTTGAACACCCGCATTCTAAGCAACACTTACATAACGCAACACGATAAATCTGCAATAAAATACAACAAACAAAAATTTCAAGTCAACCACCGCACCCAAACAAAACCCAATTTTTGATTTTCTCGATTTCCATACAATGAAAATCGTTTCTTAGAAATGCAGCACAAGAGCGCACAGGCAATAATTTACTTCCATTATCATTAAATACCCTATTGTTGCAATTATTTTCTCTTAAAGTATTCATCATTTAAATCGCGGGATTATGGTAATTCCGGAATACGAAGCTAATTAACGGAACAAACAAGAGTCTGACTGAGATCGTAATAAGGGAGACCTGAATAAACCCCCAGCTGTTAAAACTTGGTGGCAAATGTTTGAGCTAGGTCAGGGGAGGGCGTTGGGGTGACTTTGGCACAAAGAGGGCATAAAGAGGGTCCAACGATTTCCACAGGCTGAAATGGGCCATGGTTTCTTAACCGTATGGGCGGTTTCCAGTAATAATAATTTATCCGGTTTAGCGAATCTGGCGTAAAAGTTAAGATTTATCACTGTGATAAGGCGCCGACTGAGTAAAGTCTAGTGAAATAGGGACAAATATGAAAATACTGTTTTATAAGACCCACAAATTTTTTCCCAAGTAATTACACAGCAAACTCGTGTCACTCTGAACTAAATAATTTAATTTCTATTTTTTTTTTCTCGACAATGGAAAACTTTCTTGTGTTTGAAATAAGCAACAAGCAACACCATGGGGTTATTTTTAATAATAAAGTGGCCACCGTTGCAGAATTGTGCAAATTCTCGCTTCTCATCCTCTTTACTCCTCGCCAGACAATTAGTTGCGGCAAAAGAGCACCGACAAAAACCAGCTTTGCTCCTTGGAACGCGTTCTCATCCGGTCGTTCCTTCTGATGTATATTTATCACATCTCTGATTAAACTCAATTCCTGATTAATTAAGCCAGCTGAATTAATGAAATCGTCGCTCCACGCGACAAATTAACCCATCAATCCTCAATCTCGTTAATACCTGTAGAAATCGTTCCCTGTGACGATGTCCCTGATGCTGTCCTCCGGGTCTACCCTATCGTAGTCGGGCCGAACCTTCCTGGTCTTACTCCTGGTCAAAATCAGCTCCGACGTGTCCAAGAAGTCGCTCTCGGCCGGCGAGAGACACCCGGAAGCGTCCAAGAGGTTCTCCGAGTGCCCATGATGGATCTCCGCGGTGATGGGGATATCGGCCGGGTTCTGCAGCACCAACTCGTCGCTTTTACTCGATTTTAAGTCATTGTATAACTGTTCACTGGTCCGACTGGCACGATACGTATCCAAAAAGGATCTCGGAAATGTGTCACCGCGGGACACTATCAACTCGGTCATTATTTTGCGGACACTTGTTTGGTTTGTTTTATCTGTTTACACTGCACTGAAAACACATCACGAACTTGCCAATGAGCTATTTTTAGCGCGACGTGACGATCACTGCTCCCTTGCTCTGTAAATATATTACTGAGACACATCTACAACAAAGTTGACAGATCGCAGGAAGGAGCCCCCACTTCGCTACCAACATGGGGAAAAGAGTGCGTTTTGTCCTTGTTTGGAACACGTGAAAGACAAAGAAAGAGTATGAGAACAGGTGGCTGCACTGGCTACTGGTGTGCCCTCTATCGGGCAACGACCGCGGCGACCTTGATAAAACCCCAAGGACTGTCCCAAATAACAATAAAAACACAATTAAAACACGAAGTGATGTTTTTTCCTTTTATTCAACGTTCTGTAACGATAGCCGCTAGTGTAATTAATTTTGTGCTTGCTATAAACATCAGTGACAAGTGACAGGATTGACAGTTGGCAGTGGATTTATAGGTTATAAATACAAGTCAGCTGACTTTAGTTGTAATATTTATTTTATTTATTCGTGTTAGTATGTGATTGATTTTCCATATCCCATTTACCATGAACAAAAACCTTCAATCCCCGACCAAGCTGACCGAGTTTGCTCCGATCCAGTCCGAGGAGAAACCCCAAAGTGTGGGGCAATTTATAACCAAGATTTTCAAGTTCAATAAAACCACTCCTTCCGATGAACAAAGCACGGGGGCTGTTTCTAGCAGTGACAATGTGTCGCAAGAGTCGCTACCAACGTGGGCTATTGATGTGAATTCGGATTCGTCCACTGCTCCGTACCATGTGGATGTGAATGAAGGTAGAAGCTTGCCCAACGTGTTGAAAAGAATTAGCAACTTGCTAGCTTTAAAAAGCACAGTGAGTATTTTAAAGCATTGCTTTTGCGGAGAATTAAAGCAAAGCTCAGAAAATAAGATAAGTTCCATGTAAAATATAGTTGTTTTACCACAGGCTGTGGATGTGTATTACTGGTTGCGTTTCATTGAATTAAGCTTGACTGGTTAGAGGAGTCATAACAATTTTTTCCTTTCTTCTATGATAAAATGATATTAATATAGATGTTTTACACATCAAACTGCAGCTTTTTTCATGTTCTAAGCCCCTGAAAACAGCTCAATCAAGTAAAAAATGTGGCAGAAATATCGTAAAAAAACCACCATTGTCTTCTATTTTTTGTATGTTAAACATTATAGAATCTCTTGAAGATCCTCACACTGACAAAATAACGTATTTTAAAGGCCTCTGTCATCTTAAATATTTGTTGGTAGTACAATTTATTTAAATAATCATGTCTTTATTAAAATCAAAATATACGATAAATTAATTCAAAATACATATGTACGTCGAATAAATTTAATAGGATTATTAGTGGAAAATCAATGATACAGTCCTTGGCAAGTTTTCGAGGATCAAACAGCCAAGCAAAAATGAATGCTATTGTGTCGATTATTATGTTAGATTTGGAGGTTAAAAATCGAGAAAAACAAAAAAGTTTTTTTCTCACGCCTATTTAAAATTCTAAATCATCGTTGCAGAACCTCCAAGACTACTCAGACACAGAACTTAAACAATACTGGATGCCCGATTCCGTAAGCAAAGAATGCTACGAATGCTGCGAAAAATTTACGACTTTCAGACGTCGCCACCACTGTCGGGTTTGCGGGCAAATTTTCTGCTCGCAGTGTTGCAGTCAGCAAATTCCAGGGAAGATTTTCGGATGTACGGGAGATTTAAGGGTGTGCACGTACTGCTGTAAAGTGGTTTTGTCGTATTTACAATCCTCAGACGTCGGCGCTGACTTAACGGCCGACCTGAAACTCCTACAGGAGAATTTGCAAAGCAAATTCGGGAGCACGTTGATTTCGCCCACTGCGACATTGCAAGACAGTTCGATCCAAAACCTGAACAAAGATTCGGTGGAAGTGGGGAATATTTTGCGGAGAAAGATCTCGGTGGGGTACCAGGAGGAGAAATTCGCGTCAGGGTAATTTGTTTTTGGTTGGTTGATTTTTGTAAAAATTGTCTTTGTTGTTAAGTAGGCAGAGTAATATGTATTTGACTACGGAGGAGAAGTGCAAAGCGTTGCAAAATTCGGTGTCGCTTCGAGCGCTTTTTGAGGAAATTTCGAGAACGACGACTGGGATTCCGTTGGGTACTCATAGGTACCGTTTGCGTACCTATACGGACTGTTTCTTGGGGTCGGAGTTGGTTGATTGGTTGATTTATCAGCAGAAGGCGAATACGAGGGTTCAGGCGGCTGCCATAAGTCAGGCTTTGCTCGAAGGGGGCTATATTGAGTGCGTCTCGGACCCTTGTTCCTTCGTAGACGGTTACGCGCTGTACAAACCTGGGTTTTTTGTTACTCCAGAAGTGTCAGCCACCCCTAATTATTTTGAAGCTCCAAACCAAGAGGAGCCGAGTTGGGTACAACAGATTCCACAGGAGTCTAGTACGACTGGTATTTTTTCATCTACACTATTTTTTGATGTGTTGTAACGCTTTTTTTCTTAGATTCTGACAATGAACAAGTTTCTTTATTGAAAAATCGTGGACCGTTGGCGTCTTCGTCTTCCTATATGTTGGATTTGAACGTGGAGGCGAATACTGTGTATTTGTCGCGTCCGCCGGCCTCTAGTTATAGCATGCAGTCGGTTAATTCAAGCGATGTTAGTTGTTGCGATGCGGAAATTACGACCGTGAGGACCTCTGAGCAGAGGGAGTTCGTTCCGGAGGCTGGTAAGCTACAAATTTTAGTTTAATCTGAATTTTTTGTATTTCGAAAATTTAATTAATAAAGTTTCAGTTTTTCGAGTTGATAAAGAATATAAAAAATTGAGTCTATTGAAGCCACCAATAAAGCACTTTGGATTGTGGTTATCATAATTTACACTCGATTGCGCTCTTGAAAGGAACATTGTACTATTTCAATGAATTGTAGAACACGTTTTCAGTTTCAAGAATTAATTTTCAGAATACAAAACTATTAATTTGCACAAAAAATGCATATTATTTTCGTAATCAGGAGATATTTTTACGTTGACTTGAAGAAAAATTTTCAAAAAAAGCCCCAAACAGCTAAAGTAAAATTTAACTAAAGTAAAAAGTTTTGTAAAAGGAATAGATATTAAAATTGTAATAAAGTCATTAAAGAGGGACAGTGGAAAACTTCCACTATTTTATCAATTTTTGTGATTTGTAATGGGGACCTCGAAATTATTTCACAACATTGATTTTACTAAGACTTGTCGGTTTATGTGGTGTTTAACTAAAATTTGCCTTCTTAATTTGGTTTACATTTTTTGCGAATAAGTAGCATCTGTTACTGGGTTTTTCCATATATCACTATTTTACATTTGTTTGAGTGGTGTTTAATTTTAATACAATATGTTCAGTTATATTGTTGTGTTAGTAGATCCTACTTGTCGGACTCTTGTCCTTTGCCCCCTGTTATTCGTTCTTCACCCCGTGTTTCTTCGTTCGATCTTTTGTTCATTCCTTCGTTCTTTAGTTCTTTCGGTATTTCGTCCTATCGATCTTTCGTGCTTTTGTCCTTTCAACCTGTCATCTTTTCGTCCTATCGTCTTTTCATCCTATCGTCCTTTCGTCCTGTCGTCCTGTCGTCCTTTCGTCCTATCGTCATTGCGTCCTATCGTCCTTTCGTACTTTGGTTCTTCCGTGCTTTTGTCCTTTCGTTTTTTCATTCTTTGATGCTTTCGGCTTCTAATTCCTAGAATTAGATTAGAATGTTCATTCTGTAGTCTTTTCTTACATGAGTCCTTTAGTTGTGTTAATTCTTTGATCCTTTAATTTAGTCCCTTAGTTTTTAATTATTTAAATCTTTAGCATTTCTCTAGTCCTTTAGTTCTTTGGTCTTTGAGTCGTTAGTTCTTTGTTCTTTTATCCTTTTGTCCTTTGTTTCTTCGTCCTTTCATCTTTCTTTCCTTCGTCCTTTTGTTTTTATCCCTTCGTTCTTTTGTCATCTTGTTCTTTGGTCTTTCGCTCTTATCGTCCACTTTTTTTAATTAATCTTTTGATCTTTTAGTTCTATTAGTTCTTTAATCTTTCCCTAGCCTTTGTTCTTTTGGTTTATTAGTTATTTAGTTGTTTAATTCTTTAGTCCTTTTTTAGTTCTTTAGTCCTTCATTCCTTCGTCCTTGGCTCTTTCATCCTCTTGCTCTTTCGTTCTTTGGTCCTCATGTCCTATCGTCCTTTCGTCCTATCTTTCTTCGTCCTTTTGTCTTTTCGTCCCTTTGTCCTTTCGTCCTTTTGTCCTTTTGTCCTTTCGTCCTTTTGTCCTTTCGTCCTTTTGTCCTTTCGTTCTTTTCGTCCATTTCTCCTTTCGTGTTATCGTCTTCTTCGTCCTGTCGTCCTTTCATCCTGTCATCCTTTCGTTCTTTCGTACTGTCGTCCTTTCTTCCTGTCGTGCTTTCGTCCTGTCGTACTTTCGCCCTTTCGTCCTGTTGTCCTTTCATCCTTTCTTCCTGTCGTCCTTTCGTCCTGTCGTCCTTTCGTCCTGTCGTCCTTTCGTCCTGTCGTCCTTTCGTCCTGTGGTCCTTTCGTCCTGTGGTCCTCTCGTCCTGTGGTCCTCTCGTCCTGTGGTCCTTTCGTCCTGTCGTCTTTTCCCCCTGTCGTCTTTTCGTCTTGTCTTCCTGTCGTTCTGTCGTCCTGTCGTTCTGTCTTCTTGTCGTCTTATCGTTCTGTCGTCTTTTCGTCCTGTCGTCCTTTCGTCCTCTCGTCCTGTCGTCCTGTCGTCCTGTCGTCCTTTCGTCCTGTCGTGCTTTCGTCCTGTCGTACTTTCGCCCTTTCGTCCTGTTCTCCTTTCGTCCTTTCTTCCTGTCGTCCTTTCGTCCTGTCGTATTCTTGTCATTTCGTCCTGTCGTCCTTTCGTCCGGTCGTCTTGTCGTCCTGTCGTCCTTCCTGTAGTCTTCTCTTCCTTTCGTCCTGTCGTCCTGTGGTCCTTTCGTCCTCTGGTCCTCTCGTCCTGTGGTCCTGTCGTCTTTTCGTCCTGGCGTCTTTTCGTCTTGTCTTCCTGTCATTCTGTCGACCTGTCGTCTTATCGTTCTGACGTCCTGTCGTCCTCTCGTCCCGTCGTCCTTTCGTCCTTTCGTCTTCTCGTCCTTTCGTCCTTTCGTCCTTTGTCCTGTCGTCCTCTCGTCCGTTCGCCCTGTCGTCCTTTCGTTCTATCGTCCTGTCGTCCTTTCGTCCTGTCGTTTTCGTTCTTTCGTCCTGTCGTGTTCATTCTTTCGTCCTGTCGTTTTCGTCCTTTCGTCCTGTCGCTTTCGTCCTGTCGTCGTTTCGTCCTGTCATCGTTTCGTCCTGTCGTCGTTTCGTCCTGTCGTCCTGTCGTCGTTTCATCCTGTCATCGTTTCGTCCTGTCGTCGTTTCGTCCTGTCGTCCTTCGTTCTGTCGCCCTTTCGTCCTATCGTCCTTCCTTTCTATCGTCTTATCGTGTTCTTTCGTCCTGTGTCCTTTCGTCCTGTGTCCTGTCGTCCTTTTGCTCTATCGCCCATTCGTCCTGTCGCCCTTTCCTCCTGTGGTCCTTTCGTCCTGTCGTCCTTTCGTCCTATCGTCCTTTCGTCCTTTCGCCCTGTTATCTTGCCTCCCTTAGTTCTGGCGTTCTGTCTTCCTTGCGTCCGCGCATCCTTTCCTCCTTTGTTCATTCTTTAGTCTTTTCGTTATTTGGTCCTGTTGTACTTGCGTTCTCTTATCCTTTCGTTTTTTCGTTCATTTTTTTGTTTGGTCCTTTCTTTTTTTTTGTCATTTTGTCTTTTCGCTTTTTCTCATGTAATCCTTTATTCCTTTCATCCTATCGATCTTTCGTCGTTTTGTCCTTTCGTTCGATCGTCCTCGTGTCCTCTCTTCCTATTGTCCTCAGATCCTTTCGTACTTTAGTCTTCCGCTCCTTTGGTTCTATTAATTCTGTACTCGCGTCCTGTCGTATTGTTGTTCTTTTGTCCTGTCGTCTTTTCGTCCTATCGTTTTATCATCCTTCCGTCATTTCGTCTTCTCGCACTTCGTCATTTTGTCCTTTCGTCCTTTCGTCTTGTGGACCACGGATCCTCTGGTCCTTCCGTGTTTTCATCCTTTTGTATTTTTATCCTTTGATCCTTTCGTTTTTTTAAGCGCTCATCTCTTCGGTCTTTGATTCTTAGTCCATTTTTTAGTCTCTTCTTATATTAGTGCTTTAGTTCTGTTAATCCGTTTATCCTTTGGTTCATTGTCCTGGTCTTTCCGTCCTTTTGTCCTTCTGATTTTTTATCTTTTCTGCCTTTAATTACTAAAACTTCTGTTCTTTCGTCTTACATTAATGCATTAGTTCTATTAATTCTTTGATCCTTTCGTCCTTTGGTTCTTTAGTCCTTTAGTTGTTAATACTTTAATTCTTTAATCTTTCTCAAGTCCTTTAGCCCTTTGGCCCTTGAGTCGTTGGTCCTTTGTTCTTTTTATCTTTTGTTCCTTCGTCCTTTTGTCCATTGTTCCTTCCTTGTTTTGTCCTTTGGTTTCGTAGTCCTTCACTCTTTTCATCTGTTCGTTTTTTCATCGATTAATTTTTAGTCCTTTGGTCCTATTAGTCCTGTTTGTTTGTCCTTTAGTCTTGTTAGTTTGTCCTTTAGTCCCATTAGTTTGTTCTTTAGTCCTGTTTGTCCTTTAGTCCTGTTAGTCCTTTAGTTCTGTTAGTCCTTTAGTCTTGTTAGTTCTTTAGTCCTTTAATCCTGTTAATCCTTTAGTCATGTTAGCCCTTCACTCCTATTAGCCCTTTGGTCTTATTATTCCTTTAGGCCTATTAGTCCTTTAATCCTTTAGTTATATTAGTCCTTTAAGTCCTATTAGTCCTTTAAGTCCTATTAGTCCTTTGAGTCCTATTAGTCCTTTAAGTCCTATTAGTCCTTTAAGTCCTATTAGTCCTTTCGTCCTTTGAGCATATTAGTCCTTTAGTCCTATTAGTCCTTTGGTCCTATTAGTCCTTTGGTCCTATTAGTCCTTTGGTCCTATTAGTCCTTTGGTCCTATTAGTCCTTTGGTCCTATTAGTCCTTTGGTTCTATTAGTCCTTTGGTCTTATTAGTCCTTGGTCCTATTAGTCCTTTAGCCCTGTTAGTTTGTCTTTTAGTCCTATTAGTCCTTTGGTCTTGTTACTTCTTTAGTCCTGTTAGTCCTTTAGTCCTGTTGGTCTTTTAGTCCCGTTAGTCCTTTGATCCCGTTCGTCTTTTAATCTTGTTGTCATTTAGTCCTGTTAGTCCTTTATTCCTGTTAATCCTTTTGTCCTTTAGTCCTAGTAGTCCGTTAGTCCTATTAGCGCTTTGGTCCTATTACTCCTTTGGTCCTGTTAGTTTTTTGGTCATATTAGTCCTTTAATCCGATTAGTCCTTTTGGTCCTATTGGTCCTTTGGTCCTATTAGTCCTTTAGTCCTATTACTCCTGTTTGTTTGTCCTTTAGTCCTGTTAGTTTGTCCTTTAGTCCTGTTAGTTTGTCCTTTAGTCCTGTTAGTTTGTCCTTTAGTCCTGTTTGTCCTTTAGGCCTGTTAATCCTTTAGTCTTGTTAGTCCTTTGGTCGTGTTGGTCTTTTAGTCTTGTTATTCCTTTGGTTCTGTTAGGCCTTTGGTCCTGTTAGGCCTTTGGTCCTGTTAGGCCTTTAGTCCTATTAGGCCTTTAGTCCTGTCAGTCCTTTAATCCTATTAGTCCTTTAGTCCTTCCCTAGCTTTTTAATCCTTTAGTCTTTCCATGCTTTCGTTCTTTCGGCTTTTAATTACTAGAATTTCCGTTTTTCCGTTTTCTTATAATTAGTTGTACCTATTAATTATTTGGTACTTTAGTCCTTTAGTTTTTAATTGTTTAATTCTTTGTGTTTCTCTAGTCCTTTGGTCCTTTAGCCCTTGAGTCGTTCGTCCTTTGTTCCTTTATTCTTTTGTCTTTTGTTTCTTCGCATTTTTGTCCTTTGTTCATTCGTCCTTTTTTTTTCTTTGTTGTTTGGTCATTTCGTTCCTTAGTCCTTCACTCTTTATGTCTACGCGTTTTTTCTTCGATTAATACTTTGATCTTTTAGTCTTTTGGTTTTTAGTTCTTTAATTAATTAGTCTTTCATTAGCCTTTTTGTCATTTGGTCCCTCCGTACTTTTGTTTTTTCGTTTTTCATCTTTTCATCTTTTCGGCCTTTAATTCTTAAAATTTCCGTGCCGGTTTTTTTTTATATTAGTGCTTTGGTTGTATTAATTCTTTGATCCTTTCATTCTTTGGTTCTTTAGTTCTTTAGTCTTTTGCTCCTGCTGTGCTTTTGTCCTTTCGTTTTTTCATCTTTTGATCCTTTCGGCTTTTAATTCCTAGAGTTTCCGTTCTTCAGTTTTTAATTGTTTAGTTCTCTAGTCCTTTTGTCCTTGGACCTTTGAGTCATTCATCCTTTTGCCCTTTGCTTCTTCGTCCTTTTGTTCTTGGTTCCTTCTTTTTTTTGTCCTTTCGTTCCTTAGTCCTTCGTTATTTTCATCTCGTTTTTTCTTCGATTAATCTTATGGTCTTTTAGTTCTATTAGACCTTTAATTTTTCCCTAGCGTTTGGTCTTTTGGTCCTTTAGTTTTTTTATTTGTTTAATTCTTTAGTCCTTTCCTAGTTCTTTGGTCCTTCTGTTCTGCGTCCTTAGTTCTTTCATCCTCTCGCTCTTTTGTCCTTAATTCTTTAGTTCTATTAGTCCTTCAGTCCTTTGGTCTTTCAGATTTTTAGCCTTTTGATCCTTTATTCGTAGTCTTTTTCTCCGTTAATACTTTAATTCTCGCTGGAGGACGAGAGGAAGAGTACGACACTATTCTGACATAATTAACCCAACATTTCGAGTTGGTTTGTCAGTTTTCTATTTATCAGATGATCTATATAATCGAAACATAAGTTCTCTAGTAGGTCATGAAAATAATTTTTAAAATAATGTTGTCATTTTCTATTTGACACTTATCTGGTCTTAACTGTCAAAATCGGTATTACCAACATAATAAAAATAAATCAAATTTCATGACCTACTAGAGGACAATTATTTGGATCATTTGGTACATTTTTTAAAGTAAATAAAAAGATTAATTTTCTCAAGAATGTGTATGTTTTTACACATTTCCTAACCTAAAATTTAAAACAACATCACATAAATAATAAGAAAAATTTACGAAATTTTGATTTTTCTTTCTGTACGGACTACTAGATTTTCATGGCTAACCCTATTTCGATAAAATCGTGAATGGATACTACAATCGAAATGCCTTCATGTGTGTTTGAGAATCACTTCAAACCTACACTAGAAAAATTTATTGGAAAAGTAATGCCTATAAAATACCATAAATATTGCCATGTTCCTTTCAAAAGGTTACAGTATCTTTAGTAAGTTTTAAAAAATTGTGGGATACTTTTTGATTTAAAATAAACCATGACATAAAGCTGAATTTAGTTTTAGTTAGTTTTTTTCTTTATTTTGTTTAGGTTGGCACCATGCATCGTCCCTCCGTGAAGAAAACGGCGAAAAACTGGCCTACAACCTACTAACCGAAGCCTACCAACAACACGAACAAACCCTCCTCAAACAACTCTTATCTTCAAACAGCCTATCACTCTCCTGGACCGACGTAGTCATCCCGTTAAGCCACGAAATAATCAACACCATCAGACCAGGTACCCCACTTCTCCTCCCCAAGTAATCCTACAACCCCCATCTTTCAGACAAAAACCACGACGCCGAAGACCTGGACATCCGCCACTACATCAAATTCAAGAAACTCCCCGGGGGTTCCCGCAGCGACACCCGCCTCATCAGCGGCATCGTCTTCACCAAAAACGTAGCCCACAAGGGCATGCAGACCGAAATCGATACCCCCAAAATCCTGCTCCTCCAGTGCTCCATAGTCTACCAGCGCACCGAAGGCCGCCTCATGTCCTTGGAACCCGTGCTCATGCAAGAGCACGAGTACTTGCGGCACGTGGCTGCGCGAATCGTGGCTTTGCAACCCGACGTAGTCTTAGTCCACCGGAACGTGTCGCGATTGGCTCAAGACCTGCTACGTCAGCAAGGCATCACGCTAGTGCATAACGTGAAGCAAACGATTTTGGACCAACTGGCGCGCTGCACAGAGGCGGACCTCGTGACGGCCGTCGACGCCCACATCGGCCGGCCACGCCTAGGCACGTGTAAGAAGTTCTATCTGCGCAGCTTCGACGTGGAAAGGGGCGGAGCCAAGACGCTCATGTTCTTCGAAGGGCTGGCGAATGCGCATTTGGGCGGGACTGTGTTGCTGCGAGGCGGGGGCAAGCAGGAGCTCACGCGGTTGGAGAAGGTGGTGTCGTTTTGCCTCTTCGCGACGTACAACTGGAGGTTGGAGAAGTCGTTTCTTATGGATGAGTTTGCGCAGCCGCCGAATTCCGCGTGTGAGTTTCTGGATGACAGCAGCAAGGAAAACTCGCCCAAATTGCCGACGGCTGAGACTAAAGTCGAGAAGAAGAGCGAAAATGGGGATGATGAGGTGTTCGTGAGGGCGGAGCCTAAGCAACACTTGGGGGTCAGCGAGGGGAAGAAGATGAACAGTGAGACGGTGGAGGATTTCACGGATCCTTTGCAGTCGTCATACCATGACGTAGGTGGCGAGACTAAGGAAATTTTGTCGGTGGCGGAGTTGCCGTTTTCAAATAGTTTTAGGAAATCTTTGGATGACACGATTTTGTGTATCTCGCCCTATCTCATGTTCTGTGTGCCGTTTTTGGAGACGGAGGTCGGGAGGAAGTGTAAGTTGAGGAAGTTTTTTCCTTCAGAGGTGTATTTTAGCGAGCAGTTTAGCAACCAGACTAAAGTGAAGATTGTCAAAGAGCTTGAGGAAGAAGTGAAAACGACGAAACAGGTATATCTTTTGTGTATTTTTTTGTTTTTAGTGATAGATTTTTTGTTAGAGCAAGCCTCTGCACCCGTTTTTACTTGCCAAGATTACCACAAGTATTGATAGTAATGATATTCAAGCTATGTTGGCTAATTTTCGGGCTTGTGGTGGGAGCTACGAAAAAAGGGAAATTTTGTGTAAACCACCGGTTACTCCAGATGAGGAAATATTGAAGACTAAAGACAAAAACTACTATAATAAACAAGATGTTCTTGAAATAAACAATCACCAAAGATTATCAGTATTATTTTGTAGTTATAGTCACGAGTCGACCAATTCGCCGGCCTTTTGCGTCAATCCATGGTAAGTCGAAGATTTGTTGACAGTTTATCGAGATTGATTACTATTAACCCCGCCAAAATTGATGACGTCATCACAAAACATTGCCAAGTAAATCTCGCTTAAAATTGTTATTGTTACGTATTTTATCTGTGATCCATATTTATAATCTAATAAATAAGTAATCTTTGCATTAGAAATTTCATAATTTGTAATTGAATCTCCATAAAGAACTTTTTTTTTAAATTTTGCCACATATTAAGCTTATCTATTCCCTCTAGAAATTTGATGACGTCTCTAAAAATTATTAAATAAATATGTATGATAGGGTATTCTATTTGAATTCTTTGTAAACACAAAGAATATTAAGACTCGATTTTATTGTGTTTCTTTTCTTATAAAATATTCTAGGAACCTAATAACCCTATTATGTTTTTTTTTTAACTAAACAATTTCAAGAAAATTGGGACGACGTGGCAACGTCGCATCGAAATTTTAAAAGTAAATTCAAAGTCATACAGCCTAAGATGAGGCCAATCAGAGTGTCTGAAAATATACAGGATGAGTCACTGAGCGCGCGGTGTATGATGTCTTACTATACAGAGTGTTTTGTTTTTATGGCGTAATTATTTTTTTTTTTTTAGTGAAACACCCTATATATTTTTACATATTTTGATCGACGTCTTCTTAGGCTTTAAAAACACACTTTGCTTTTGAAATTCTAACCCGAAAAATCTACATCACAATTTTCGCTTTTCTTTTTTTTTTCGATTTTTCAGTTCTTTAATATCACAATTTTTCTTTTTTTTTATTCTCTTTAATTGTTCTATTATTGCATTTTTTAATGTTTCGACTTCATAATTTTTGGTTTTTTCGTTTCTTCAATTTTTCGTTTGTTGTATTTTAGGTTTTTTCATTTCCTTTATTTTTTCAATGTTTTTGGATTTTACAATTTTTCGTTTAGTCCAATTTTTAAATTTTTCAATGTTGCAGTTATTGGATCTTCATTTATCCAATTTTCCAATTTCTTTAATTTTCAATCTTTCAATTTTACGATACATATTTCGTTTTTTGGATTTTCCACTTTTTCAATTTTTAAGTTCCTCAATTTTTAATTATTCGGTTTTTCGTTTCCTCAATTTTCCAAGTTCTTGATTTCCAATTTTTAGATTATTCAGTTTCCAGTTTTACAATTTTGCGATTTTTTCATTTTTATTTATTCGAAAAGTTGAAAAATCGGGAAAAATTGAAAAATTGCAAAATCGAAAAAGTGGAAAATCGAAAAACTGCAAATCGAAGATTTGAAAAAACGAAAAATTAAAAAATCGAAAAGTTGAAAATCCAAAAAAAGGAAAACCGAATAATTGCATATCGAAAAATTGAGAAATTCAAAAATTGAAAAATTTCATATTGAAAAAAAGAAAAATTAAAAAAACAGAACATTCAAAAAACGAAAAATTAGAAATCGAAAAACTGTGAAATAGAAAAATAGAAAAATTAAAAATTTAAATTTCGTGAAATTGCAAATTTAGAAATTTGCTAAATCTAAAAATTGAAACATCCAAAAGATGTAAAATCGAGAAACTACAGAATTTTAAAATGAAAACTAGAAGAGTTGTATGTCGTAATATTAAAGAAACAAAAAAAAATTAAAATTGTAAATCGGAAAACTGAAGAAACGAAAAATTGAAAAAGTTAAAAATTATAAGATCTGAATATCGAAAAATTGTAAAAATGAAGAAAATAAAAAACCAAAACAAAATATTGCAAATAAAAAATTTGAAGAAATGAAAAATTAAAGAATCGAAAAATTAAAAATTGAAAACTCGAGATATTTTAAATCGAAAATTGCCAAATCTAAAGATTGAAGAAATAAAAAATTTAAAAATTATAAAATCGGAACATTGTAAAGTCGAAAAGTATAGAATGATCAAAATTGTAAAGTCCAAAAACTGTAACAGTGAAAGATCGAACAACTGAAAAATTAAATGCCGAAAAGTTAAAAAATTAAAATCGAAAAATTTAAAGTGAAAAATTGCAAACCAAAAACTGAAACATATAAAACTGAAAAATGAAAAATTATTAATCAGAACATTGAAAAATCGAAAAATTGAAAAAATAAAGAAAATGAAAAACCGAAACGAAAAATTGCAAAATCGAAAAACTGCAAATCGAAGAATTGACGAAACCAGAAATTGAAATATTGTAAAACTAAAAATCGAAAAAAGTTGATGAATCGAAAAATTGGAAAACCCAAGAATTGTAAAATCGAGAACTGTACCATTGAAAGATTGAAAATTTGAAAAAAAAAAATGGAACAATTCTGAAATCGTAAAATTGAAAAAATGAACAATGTTTAAAATTATAATTGTTATTACATACTTCTTAAAATCAAAAACTACAAAAATTGCAAACCAAAAATCGAAGAAACGAAAAATTGAAAACCGAGAAACTGAAAAATCTAAAATTGAAAAAACGAAAAATTAAAAATTCGAAAAGTTGAAAATCCAAAAAAGCAAAGCCGAAAAATTGCAAATTGAAAAATTGAGGAATTCAAAAATTGAAAAATTTCACATTGAAAAAAATCAAAATTATAAAATCAGAACCTTAAAAAATTGCAAATCGAAAAATTGTGAAATAGAAAAACTAAAAAATTAAAAATTGAAAACTCGTGCAATTGCAAATTTAAAAATTTGCAAAATCTAAAGATTGAAACATACAAAAGATGGAAAATCGAAAACTAAGGAATTTTAAGATGAAAACTAATATTAAAGAAACAAAAAAATTAAAAGTCGTAAATCGAAAAACTGAAGAAACGAAAAATTGAAAAAATTGGATTTGAAAAAATTAAAAATTATAAAATCTGAATATTGAAACATTGTAAAAATGAAGGAAATAAAAAGCCAAAACAAAAAATTTGAAGAAATGAAAAAATAAAGAATCGAAAAATTGAAAAAAACCCAAAAATTCTAAAATCGAAAAATTATAGAATCGTCAAAATTGTAAAATCGAAAAACTGTAACATTGAAAGATCGAAAATTTAAAAAAAAATGGAACAATTCTGAAATAGTAAAATTGAAAAAATGAACAATGTTTAAAATTATAATTGTTATTACATACTTCTTAAAATCAAAAACTAGAAAAATTGCAAATCAAAAATCGAAGAAACAAAAAATTGAAAACCGAGAAACTGCAAAATCTAAAATTGAAAAAACGAAAAATAAAAAAATCGAAAATTTGAAAATCCAAAAAAGGAAAGCCGAAAAACTGCAAATTGAAAAATTGAGAAATTCAAAAATTGAAAAATTTCACATTGAAAGCAATCAAAATTATAAAATCAGAACATTCAAAAATTGGAAATCGGAAAATTGTGAAATAGAAAAACTGAAAAATTAAAAATTGAAATCTCGTGCAATTGCAAATTTAAAAATTTGCAAAATCTAAAGATTGAAACATCCAAAAGATGGAAAATCGAAAACTAAGGAATTTTAAAATGAAAACTAATATTAAGGAAACAAAAAAATTAAAAGTCGTAAATCGAAAAACTGAAGAAACGAAAAATTGAAAAAATTGGAATTGAAATAATTAAAAATAAAAAATTATAAAATCTGAATATTGAAACATTGTAAAAATGAAGGAAATAAAAAGCCAAAACAAAAAATTGCAAATAAAATAAAAAATTTGAAGAAATGAAAAAATAAAGAATCGAAAAATTGAAAAACCCAAAAATTTTAAAATCCAAAAATTATAGCATCGTCAAAATTGTAAAATCGAAAAACTGTAACATTGAAAGATCGAAAATTAAAAAAAAAATGGAACAATTCTGAAATCGTAAAATTGAAAAAATGAACAATGTTTAAACTTATAATTATTATTACATACTTCTTAAAATCAAAAGCTAGAAAAATTGCAAATCAAAAATCGAAGAATCAAAAAATTGAAAACCGAGAAACTGAAAAATCTAAAATTGAAAAAACGAAAAATAAAAAAATCGGAAATTTGAAAATCCAAAAAAGGAAAGCCGAAAAACTGCAAATTGAAAAATTGAGAAATTCAAAAATTGAAAAATTTCACATTGAAAAAAATCAAAATTATAAAACCAGAACATTCAAAAATTGCAAATAGAAAAACTGCAACAGTGAATGGTTGAAAAATTGAAAAATTAAATACCGAGAAATTGAAAAATTAAATGCCAAAAAGTTAAAAAATCCAAAATCGAAAAATTTAAAGTGAAAAATTGCAAATCAAAAATTGAAGAAACAAAAAACTGAAACATATAAAACTGAAAATTAAAAAACCGAAACAAAAAATTGCAAATCGAAAAATTGAAGAAATGTAAAATCGGAAAATGGAAATATCCAAAATTAGGAAAATCCAAAAATTGAAAAATTTTAAAATCCAAACTCGAAGAGTTGCATGTCGTAAAACTAAAGAAACCAAAAAAATGAAAAATTATAAAAATTGGCATTGAAAAAAAAAACAAAGAGTTGTAAAATTGAAAAATAAAAAATTTGAAGAAATGAAAAATTAATGAGTCCAAAAATTGAAGACACAAAAAAATTAGAAAATTAAAAACTGAAAACTCGAGAAACTCAAATCGAACAAACCTAACTTCTAAAGTTGGAAAATTGAAATACATTATAACTTGAAAACTCAAAAAATTGCAAATCGAAAAACTGAAGAAATGAAAAATGGAAGCTTCCAAAATTTGGAAAATCCACAAACCGAAACATTTAAAAATGCAAACTCGAATAGTTGCATGCAGTAAAATTAAAGAAATCAAAAAAATGAATAATTTAAAACATTGAAATTGGAAAAAACAAAGAATTGTAAAATCGGAACATTGAAAAATCTAAAAATTATATTACAATTAAAGAATCGACAAATTGAAAACCTGAGAAATTTTAAATCGAAAAATTGCAAAATCTAAAAAAGAAAGTGAAGAAACAAAAAAAAAGAGAAAAATTAAAAAGTAAAAACTCAAGAAACTCAAACCGAACAATTGCAAATTCTAAAACCTTACTTCTAAAGCTGGAAAATTGAAAAACTGAAAAATTGAAACTTGAATATTCAAAAAATTGCAAATCGAAAAATTGACGAAATGAAAAATAGGAAAATGGAAACATCCAAAATTTGGAAAATCCAACCAAAAAATTTTAAAATGCAAACTGGAAGAGTTGCATGTCGTAAAATTAAAGAAACCAAAAAAATGAAAAATTAAAAAAATTGAAACTGAAAAAAAAGCAGAATTGTACAATCGGAACACTAAAAAATCTAAAAATTGTAAAATAAAAAAATTGAAGAAATGAAAAGTTAAGGAATTGCAAAAATTTTAAATAAAAAAATTGCAAAATCTAAAAACTGAAGAAACAAAAAAACTTGAAAAAATCAAAAGTGAAAAATAAAAAATTATAACATCGAATAATTGAAAAATTAAAAATTGTGAACTCGAAAAACTCAAATCGAACAATTGCAGATTCTAAAACTTAACTTCTAAAGTTGGAAAATTGAAAAACTGAAAAATTTATACTGGAACATTTAAAAAATTACAAATCGAAAAACTGCAGAAACAAAAAAATGAAAAATAAAGAATTGAAAAAGTCAAAAAAAGTTTGAAACAAATTTCTGTGTTGGCAATACTGAATTATTGGCGGCAATGTTCCCGTGTTTCACAGGCGTCAGTTTTGACATGAAGGCGCGTAAACAGCAAAAATTTAAATTTGACAACCAAGTACGCCATCATAAAATTTTAAATATATTACCAACCTAACAAAACAAGTCAAAAGTTAATATTTGTTTTCACGTAATGGTGACGTTCAGAGATAAAAATTTTTTAGTCAAAGAAATAAAATTTATTCATTTCTTTCAAAAATTCGATGATCCAGACCTATCACTTTTAGGATCGTTAACATGAACTTCTACGGGTCGAACGACATCCCCTTGGGCTGTTTCCTCGAAAAATACTGCTTCAGATCAACGTACAACTGCCCGTCCAAACCCTGCGGGACCCCCATGTTCAAACATATCCGACGTTTCGTCCACAACGCTGGCTGCGTCAGTATTTCCCTCAACAATTTCGAAAATGAATTTGCTGAAGAGAACATTGTCATGTGGACTTGGTGTACCAAGTGCCAAGGGGTCTCTCCAGTGGTGCCAATGTCGGCAGATACATGGTCCTTTTCTTTCGCTAAATACCTAGAACTAAAATTCTACGGAGGCTTATACACCAGAAGGGGGAACACCCCGTGTGGGCACAGCCTTCACCACGATCACTATCAGTATTTTGGCTACAAGAATTCCGTGGCTTCTTTTAAGTAAGTTTGTGTTTTTTGTGTTCTAGTGTTGGCGACACGTTGTTGCAGATATACGTCAATTCAAATATGGGATATTTCTCTACCGCCACCTATTGTTGACATACAGTATGACACAGATAAACACCAGACTGAGTTAATTGATGACATAAGAACAATGGCGCAGAAAGGCCACGAGATTTATTCTCTCATTCTCGAGAAGTTAGCTTGCATGCCTACGGACTTGGAAGGTTTGGGTAACCACAAACAGGTATTATTGAAAGAACAAGCCCAGTTTAAACAAAAAGTCGAGGAAGTGCAATTGAAGCTAACTTCACCCACTATCGAAAACAAGCAGTTTGACGAAGGCGGCAGAACTGGTAAGTGGCCCAAAAAATACTAATGCTGTCATATTGTAACTAAATTCCCCCAGAAGAACTCTACATCGCCTACTGGAAAATCTCCGACTCACTCATCCGCATCAAGCGTCTGATTGTCGAAACCGTGGAATCTTGGAACTTGCGATTATCCGAAACAGCTCGCAAGAGAGACAATGATAGAAGGAAAGACAGAGCGTCTTATACTGACCTCGAAAGTCCGACTGTACCCGAAGCTAAAACTTTGTCGGACACCGATATTTCGCACAGTGAGAGCTCGAACAGTAGTGCCACTGCCAAAAAAATCAAAAGTTTGGATCAGTGTGAAGGTGACAGTGATCTGAGTATGTCAAATTCGCCGAAGTGCCACCAGAGGTCGCAGTCTGACGGTACTACAATGTCGCATAATGAGGACCAGAACGACTTTAAGAAAGACTATGATAAGAAGAGTGTTAAGAATATTTTGTCGCAGTTGTTGCCGTCGTCGACAGCTTTAACTTTGATACCGGTAAGTGATGGAAAGTAGGTACAACAAGCTTTTACGAGTCCATCGGACGACTTGCCACTTTATGTTTTTATGACTCCCGTAGTATGAAAAAGTGATCTGTCGTTTCCGTCTATCTGTCTGTCGTCTGTGTCGATTTTTATTAGACACGTAATCTCCGAACCAATTGTAAATTAAAATAAAGATACATTTTATTAAATCATCATTATACTTTTGTATAATTATTATTAAAGATTCTGGATTTTCAAAATTTGTAATTCTAAAAGTTTAATTGAAATAGAATATCCAATACTTCAAGCATATCCAATAAAACAGATATTTCGACAAAACGTCATGATCTAAAATTTATTAAAAACCTACAGTTATAAAACGAACAAAATTACACATGAATAGAAAATTCTAAAATTATATCTAATTTTCTGAATTCTGAAATATGCTGAAATGGTTCTTTTTGAAAATGTGAAACTTCGCTAAAAATTAATAATTTATTCTCAAAATTTTTGTAAATTAAAAATGAATAATCGAGTTTTCAAATTTTCTAATTTTATTTCGATTGTGTAATTTTTGTTTTTTTTCAATTTAAATTGTTCCAAATTTTCATTTCTTCAGTTTTCAACTTACGATTTTTTTATTTTTCATTTTTTTTTGTTTCTTCAATGTTTCGATATGCAATTCTTCGAGTTTTCATTTTAAAATTTTTTAGTTTTCTGATTTTCCAACTTTTAGATGTTTCAATTTTTAGATTTTGCAATTTTTCGATTTGAGATTTTCCAGTTTTCAATTTTTAATTTTTCAGTTACATATTCGATGTTTCACTGTTTCGATTTTGCATTTTTTTGTTTTTTTTTTTAATTTTTTTAATTTTTCATTTCTTCAAATTTCAGGTTTTGTGATTTTTCAGTTTTTATTTTTCTTGTTTCTGTAATTTTTAGATTTTGTAATTTTTCGATTCTTTAATTTTTGATTTCTTAAAACTTTCAATTTGCAGTTTTTCGTTTCGATTTTTTATTTTCTTTATCTATTCAACTTTTCAACTTTTCGGTTTTTCAATGTTTTGATTTTATAATTTTTCTTTTTTCAATACGAACTTGATCAATTTTTAGACTTTTCAATTTTTCATTTTTTCATTATTAAGTTTTTGGGTTTATCAACTTTTGCATGCTCTATAAACTAAAAACCAGTGGCGTTTTTCAATTTGTTCAATTTTTCATTTTTTTTGTTTAGGTTAAATTTTTCCAGTTTTCAGCTTTTGAATTTTTCAATTTTTCGACTGGAAATTCTCGAGTTTTCAATTTGTAATTTTTCAGTTTTTCTATTTTTTGTTTCGGTTTTTTCTTTGGTTTTTCAATTATTCGATTTTTCAATGTTTCGAATTTGTAAGTTTCTGTTTTTTCAATTTTAATTTTTTCAAATTTTCATTTCTTCAGTTTTCCAATCCGCGATTTTTCTATTTTTCATTTTTTTTCTTTAACTTTTGGATTTTTTAATTTCTTGATTTAAAATTTCCCGAGTTTTCAATTTTTGATTCTTTTTGTTTCTTTAATTTTTCTGTTTTTAGATTTTCCAACTTTCAGATGTTTCAATTGTTACATTTGAGCTTCCCAAGTTTTCAATTTCGCAATTTTTCGTTTCGGCTTTTGATTTCTCTTATTTTTTCAAGTATTCGATTTTTCAATGTTTCGATTTTGTAATTTTTTGTTTTTTTAATTTTAATTTTTTAAATTTTCATTTCATCAAATTTCCATTGCGATTTTTCAGTTTTGTATTTTTCTTGTTTTTTCAAATTTTAGGTTTTGTAATTTTTCGATTCTTTAATTTTTAATTTGTTCAAATTTTTGATTTGCAATTTTTCGCTTCGGTTTTTCATTTTCTAATACTAATAAAAATCTCAGCATCCTGACATCATCAAGAAGTTACAAAAGTAAAATATTCAAAACAGCTTGGAACAATTACTAAATTCGATTAAGTTGTCAATTTTATTTAGTTTTATTGTTCGTGAAATTAATGTACATCTTAGAAAATTCTTTAAAAGATATGTTAGAAGCCCTTCTTTTTTAACATCTCTGAATCATCCGTGTTTAGAATTTTAGAAAATTACAGGAACGTCGTCATTTTAGATAATCATTACATTTTTGTAAAATTATTGAACATTCTGGACCTCTCAAAAATTTATAACTAGAAAAGTTTAAGAATAAATTTTTATTTAAATGGGGTACAAAAAGAAGAACAATTATTGGACGTTCTAAAATATCCAATACCTCAAGTGTATCCAATAATACAGATATTTCAACAAAACTTCATTTTGATCATTTTTTGTAAGTTAGTCATCAGTACTTGCTAAGATAAGACTGATTTTGGCTAATGAGATACCCTCTAAGAAGAGAGAGGGTGGGTGGGCGGGGCTAGTATTTAATAAGATAAAACAGATTTTCGCATTTTTGACATTTTCGACTATTTTTCAACTATTTCCGAAAATCAGCGAGAAAAGTGAGAAAAATTTTTCGTAATTTCCAAAAATTTTTTGTCTGAAACAGTTAAAAGACGATCTGATCCAACGGAAAATAGTTGGCTTATAGATAATTTTTCGCAGATTACGAATCTAAAATATTTTTGACGATTTGTCGTCAAATAACTGAGAAATGCGGGAAAATGACTCAAAAATCCCCAAAATTTCCAAAAAATTTGAAATTGTTCCAAATGGCTTTATTTGAGAGGGAAACATTGAGTTTCTGGTTTTATAGAGTATTAATCGCAAATTTAACTTATGCAATCCTAGCCCCGCCCACTCACCCTCTATTTTCTTAAAGAGTATATCATTTCCCAAAAATTGTCGTATTTTTGTAAGTACTAGTCCCTCCCAGTTTCTCTCTATTTTCTTAGGGGGTATGTTATTTGCTAAAATCAGTTTTTTTCTTAGCAAATACTAGCCCCGCCCACTCGCTCTCTCTTTCCTTGTAGGACGTGTCATTTGCCAAAATCGGTCTTACCTAAGCAAGTACTAGGCCCGCCCACCCGCCCTCTCTTTCCTTTTAGGGTATGTCATTTGCCAAAATTAGTCTTATCTTAGCAAGTACTAGGCCCGCCCACCCGCCCTGTATTTTTCCTAGAAGGTATATCATTTGCCAGAATCAGCCTTATCTTAGCAACTACTATATTATACATATATTGAAATGGCAAAATAAATTATTAAACAATAATTAAATAGTACTTGTAAGATAAGACTAATTTTGGCTAATGACATACCCTCTAAGAAGAGAGAGGGTGGGTGGGCGGGGCTAGCTAGTATGTAATAAGATAAAACAGATTTTCGCACTTTTAACATTTTCGACTATTTTTCAACTATTTTCGAAAATCAGTGAGAAAAGTGATAACAAGTTTTCGTAATTTCCAAAAAATTTTTGTCTGAAACAGTTAAAAGACGATCTGATCCAACGGAAAATAGTTGGCTTATAGATAATTTTTGGCAGATTACGAACTTAAAATATTTTTGACGATTTGTCGTCAAATAACTGAGAAATGCGGGGAAATGACTCCAAAAATCCCCAAAATTTCCAAAAAATTTGAAACTGTTCCAAATAGCTTTATTCGAGAGGGAAGCATTGAGTTTCTAGTTTTATAGAGTATTAATCGCAAATTTAACTTATGCAATCCTAGCCCCGCCCACTTACCCTCTATTTTCTTAAAGAGTGTATCATTTCCCAAAAATTGTCTTATTTTAGCAAGTACTAGTCCTTCCCACTTTCTCTCTATTTTCTTAGGGGGTATGTTATTTGCTAAAATCAGTTTCTTTCTTAGCAAATACTAGCCCCGCCCACCCGCCCTCTCTTTCCTTGTAGGATATGTCATTTGCCAAAATCAATCTTACGTAAGCAAGTACTAGGCCCGCCCACCCGCCCTCTCTTTCCTTTTAGGGTATGTCATTTGCCAAATTAGTCTTATCTTAGCAAGTACTAGGCCCGCCCACCCGCCCTGTATTTTTCCTAGGAGGTATATCAGTTGCCAAATTCAGTCTTATCTTAGCAACTACTATATTATATATTGAAATGGCAAAATAAATTATTAAACAATAATTAAATAGTACGTGTGAGATAAGACTAATTTTGGCAAAACACATGCCTTCCAAGAAAGTAGAGGGCGGGCGGGCGGGGCTAGTACTTGCTAAGATAAGACTGATTTTGGCTAATGAGATACCCTCTAAGAAGAGAGAGGGTGGGTGGCCGGGGCTAGTATTTAATAAGATAAAACAAATTTTCGCGCTTTTAACATTTTCGACTATTTTTCAACTATTTCCGAAAATCAGCGAGAAAAGTGAGAAAAAATGTTCGTAATTTCCAAAAATTTTTTGTCTGAAACAGTTAAAAGACGATCTGATCCAACGGAAAATAGTTGGCTTATAGATAATTTTTCGCAGATTACGAATCTAAAATATTTTTGACGATTTGTCGTCAAATAACTGAGAAATGCGGGGAAATGACTCCAAAAATCCCCAAAATTTCCAAAAAATTTGAAACTGTTCCAAATGGTTTTATTTGAGAAGGAAACATTGAGTTTCTAGTTTCATCAAGTATTAATCGCAAATTTAACTTATGCAATCCTAGCCCCGCCCACTCACCCTCTGTTTTCTTACAGAGTACATCATTTCCCAAAAATTGTCTTATTTTAGCAAGTACCTACTAGTCCCTCCCGCTTTCTCTCTATTTTCTTACGAGGTATGTTATTTGCTAAAATCAGTTTTTTTCTTAGCAAATACTGGCCCCGCCCACCCGCCCTCTCTTTCCTTTTAGGGTATGTCATTTGCTAAAATTAGTCTTATCTTAGCAAGTACTAGGCCCGCCCACTCGCCCTGTATTTTTCCTAGGAGGTAAATCATTCGCCAAAATCAGTCTTATCTTAACAACTACTATATTATATATTGAAATGGCAAAAATACATTATTAAACAATAATTAAATAGTACTTGTAAGATAAGACTAATTTTGGCAAAACACATACCTTCCAAGAAAGTAGAGGGCGGGCGGGCGGGGCTAGTACTTGCTAAGATAAGACTGATTTTGGCTAATGAGATACCCTCTAAGAAGAGAGAGGGTGGGTGGGCGGGGCTAGTATTTAATAAGATAAAACAGATTTTCGCACTTTTAACATTTTCGACTATTTTTCAACTATTTCCGAAAATCAGCGAGAAAAAAAATCAGTGAGAAAATGTTTTCGTAATTTCGAAAAATTTTTTGTCTGAAACAGTTAAAAGACGATCTGACCCAACGGAAAATAGTTGGCTTATAGATAATTTTTCGCAGATTACGAACCTAAAATATTTTTGACGATTTGTCGTCAAATAACTGAGAAATGCGGGGAAATGACTCCAAAAATCCCCAAAATTTCCAAAAAATTTGAAACTGTTCCAAATAGCTTTATTCGAGAGGGAAGCATTGAGTTTCTAGTTTTATAGAGTATTAATCGCAAATTTAACTTATGCAATCCTAGCCCCGCCCACTTACCCTCTATTTTCTTAAAGAGTGTATCATTTCCCAAAAATTGTCTTATTTTAGCAAGTACCTACTAGTCCCTCCCACTTTCTGTGTATTTTCTTAGGGGGTATGTTATTTGCTAAAATCTGTTTTTTTTCTTAGCAAATACCCCGCCCACCCGCCCTCTCTTTCCTTGTAGGATATGTCATTTGCCAAAATCAGTCTTACCTAAGCAAGTACTAGGCCCGCCCACCAGCCGTGTATTTTTCCTAGGAGGTCATTTGCCAAAATCAGCCTTATTAAATTGCAAATAAAAAATTTGAAGAAATGAAAAATTAAAGAATTGAAAAATTGAAAACCTGAGAAATTTTAAATTGAAAACTTGCTAAATCTAAAAACTGAAGAAACAAAAAAAATTTTAAAAATCAAAAGTGAAAAATAAAAAATTATAAAATCGAATTGAAAAATTAAAAATTGAAAACTCGAAGAACTCAAATCGAACAATTGCAAATTCTAAAACTTAACTTCCAAAGTTGGAAAATTGAAAAACTGAACAATTTATAATTGAAAACTCGAAATATTGTAAATCGAAAAACTGAAGAAACAAAAATATGAAAAATAAAGAATTGTAAAAGTAAAAAAAAATTAATTCAAACAAATTTTTGTGTTGGCAATACTGGCGGCAATATTCCCATGTTTCACACCCTCTATTTTCTTAAAGAGTATATCATTTCCCAAAAATTGTCTTATTTTAGCAAGTACTAGTCCCTCCCACTTTCTCTCTATTTTCTTAGGAGGTATGTTATTTGCTAAAATCAGTTTCTTTCTTAGCAAATACTAGCCCCGCCCACCCGCCCTCTCTTTCCTTGTAGGATATGTCATTTGCCAAAATCAGTCTTACGTAAGCAAGTACTAGACCCGCCCACCCGCCCTCTCTTTCCTTTTAGGGTATGTTATTTGCCAAAATCAGTCTTATCTTAGCAACTACTATATTATATATTGAAATGTCAAAATAAATTATTAAACAATAATTAAATACTACTTGTAAGATAAGACTAATTTTGGCAAAACACATACCTTCCAAGAAAGTAGAGGGCGGGCGGGCGGGGCTAGTACTTGCTAAGATAAGACTGATTTTGGCTAATTTTTTGAGAACCTGAAACTTCCATAAAAATAAATACTTTGTATTCTCAAAATTTTATAAATTAAATGTTATACTCAGAATCTAAAAAATTCTGACAGCGTCAAAAACTTTTCAATATTGAAATATTCAAGTGTTAATTTTGCTCAATTTTTATTATTACTAAATAAAGCCACAATCTTAAAAAATTCTTTAAAAATATGTTAAAAGGCTTTCGTTTTTTAACATCTCTGGGTCTTCCGTGTTTAGAATTTTTGAAAATTACAAAAGCTTTTGTAAAATTATTGAAAATATAATAATAATTCTAAAAATCTAATAATTAAGGTGGTCAAATTTTTAGATATACATATACGATTGAAAAGAAAAGTATTTGAAATTTTTAAAATACTCGGATCAATGGAGCTAAGCTATATCTTATACATTGTTTGTTTGTCTATGACATCCAACTTAATATGTAATGACAGTATATATATTTTTTGGAATTCTTGTACAGTTAAACAATTCGTTTACCTATCATACTTTCATCACCCATACTCCGCCACCGTCTATGATTCGAACGCATTATGTTATCATTTGTTGAACTGTATCTAAGGGGCGAGAGAAATCTTGTCGAAATAACCAATTTTGTTGTAGAACCCCTTCAACACCCAAGACCACTACACCCTCCCCACCGGCGTGTCCGTCCCCATCGTCGTCTACGAGAGCGAGCCCAGCTCCATCATCGCCTACTCGCTCAACTCGTGCGACTACAAGAAGTCCTTCGACGAGCTCACCGCCAGGAAGCCCAGCGCCGAGCAGACCCCCAGCCCCGTCGTCAAGCGCCGAAGCCACAGCCAGGACAAGAACGACAGCGACGACAAAACCTCGGGCCTGTTGGGCTTCCTGCGGAACTCCAAGAACGACGCCAGCTCGCCCACCAACTCGACCACCTCCGACAACAGCCAGCCCGCCGACGTCCCCCCCGAGAAAACCGAAGACGCGAAGAAGTCCAAAAACCTACATATCGAAGTCCAGTTCCAGGACGCTCACTGCAACTTCTTCTGTCGCGTCTACTTCGCCGAAAAGTTCGCCAACTTGCGGGCGCTGGTTTTGCCCATCGGGGAGGAGGGGTACATCAGGTCGTTGAGTCGCTCGGTCCAGTGGAACGCCCGCGGAGGCAAGTCGGGGTCGAACTTTGCCAAGACTGCCGACGATCGGTTTGTTTTGAAGGAGATGTCGAAATCGGAAGTCCAGTTGTTTTTGGAATTCGCGCCGAATTATTTTTCGTATATGCAGAAGTGTTATGCCACTGGGCAGCCGACGCTGTTGGGGAAGATCGTGGGGATTTATCAGATTATTTTTAAGAATAATACGAATGCGACGCTGAGGACGAATTTGTTGGTTATGGAGAACTTGTTTTATAACAGGACCGTTACGCAGAAGTTTGATTTGAAGGGGTCGATGAGGAATAGGCTGGTCATTCCTGATAATCAAGAAGGGGAGATCGTTTTGTTGGACGAGAATCTACTCAAAAGTATGTATTTATATAAAGCCAGGTATACTTATTATAAGTATGACAAACATAACCTAATTTTTTACTTTATTTCCTCAGTTGTCAAAACAAGGTGAATCTTTATCGTGTGAACAAATAAATTAAGTTGCGTATCCTTGAGTTTTAATTATTTGTTTCAGTGACTTGCGATGCTCCGTTGTATATTTTGCCACATTCCAAGGCTGTTCTGACAGCTGCGATTCAGAATGACACCGAGTTTTTGTCTGCACAATCTGTAATGGATTATTCGTTGTTGGTGGGGCTGGATTCTGAAAATAAAGAGTTGGTTCTGGGGATTATAGGTAACAATATACAATAATGGTGTAACGAATTTTTAAACTTTTTTTGGTAGACTATATTAGGACGTTTACTTGGGATAAGAAGCTGGAAACCATGGTTAAAAAGAGCGGGATTCTGGGCGGACAAGGAAAATTGCCCACGATCGTGTCTCCGGAGGAATATCAAAAAAGGTTCATTGAAGCTATGCACAGATACTTCTTGGAAGTTCCAGACCATTGGGCTGGTTTAGGCAAAGGGCTGGAATTTTGATGAATGGTCGTTTTTACCATCAATTTGTATTATTTTTCTATAGGTGTAGTTACCAATATTGTTATTTATTTTTGTATATTTTCTTTACATATTTTACTTATATGTTTAAGTTTTAATAAAATCTTAAACCAACGAGGAATTGGCAGTTTTTTTTTGTTTCCACTATTTGTTTGAAAAAAGAAGCGTTTTGTACCATTAGTTCAACATCAAATTTAATATAATTTTTTGAAAAATAATTGGTTTATATAGTTATTTAGACAGAAAATTTCCTGCAATCAAACAAATCCAGTTTCTTTGGTAAATTATAAAATTTGATTTTGCGAATTTTATTTCAGCTAAAAAAAGTGAGTAGATGTCAGTTTTATCGACTTGAGGTTATAGAATTTCAAAATTACTGTATAATTACTTAATGCACTGCCAACTTATTATTTATAATTGTCTCAGCCATTTACGGCGACAATTTTGAAATAAACAATAATAACTCCTAAAGTCAAAAGAATACAGTTAAAAAATCCATGTCTCGAGTGGGTTTTTCAAAAAAATTTGATGACTATCAATTTTCCAACAACGAAAATAATAATAAGACGAAAAAATCCGATAAGATAACGGTGACAAAACAAAGGCGACAATAACCAATAGCAAAAAAGGACCTAAAAACCGGAAAAATACAATAAAAAAGGGATTAAAAAAAAGCGATTAAAAACAGTACAAGTAATACGGAAAAGAGGCCACAAAAAGGCAAACATTTTTCTACAATTATTTTATTTTATTTTTTAGTGTTTTGGCTTTTTGATTTCTCTAATTCTCGATTTTCCGATTTTTCGGTTTTTCAATGCTTCAAAATTTTCGATTTTTCTGGTTATTGATTTTTCAGTTTTTTGAATTTTTAAATTACCGATTTTTCGACCTCTAGATTTCTCTATTTTTCAGTTTTTCAATTTCCCAATTTTTCGATGTTTTATTTATGAGGTTTTTTCTATTGTCCGATTCTTCAAATTTTCGATTTACCCATTTTTTGAATTTTTCGATTTGTTAATTTACCGATGTTTCAATTTTCAGGTTTTTAAATTTTTAATTTTTTGATGTCTCAGTTTGTCGATTCATCAATTTTTCAGTTTTTTAATTTCTAAATTTTTCCATTTTTCAATTCGATTTTTAAATTTTCGATTCTCCTACTTTTGAATTTCTCAATTTTTAATCTTTTGATTTTTCGAAAGTTCTTCCATTTTTCAATTTTTCGATATTTCAATTTTGGAAGTTTTCAATATTTCGATTCTTCAGTTTTATGACTTTTCGATTATTCGGTTTCTCGATTTTTTATTTTTTGGATTTATCAAGTTTCCTATTTTTGGATGTTTCCGTTTCTCGATTGTTCAATTTTTCGATATGTTAATTTTTCAATTTTTAAAATTTTGTCAGTTCTTCAATATTTCTGTTATTCGATTTTCCGAATTTTTAAATTTTAGATTTTTTAATTTTTTGATCTTTCGGTACCTCGCTCTTGCGATTTCTCGATCTTTGATTTTTCGACTTTTTGGTATTAGATTTTTCGATTTTTATTATTAAAGTGTTTGATTTTTCGATTTTTAAATTTTTCAATTTTTCAGTTTTTCGATTTTTCAATCTTTCGATTTGTCGATTTATGGAAATTTCAATGTTTCGATTTTTCGATTGTTCAATTTTTTTGTTTTTTTAATTTTTCAGTATTTAACTTTTCGATTTTTCAATTTTTTATATTTTAATTTATTGATTTTTCAAAATTCAGATTTTTCAGTTTCTTGATTACTCGATTTTCCGATTTTTCAGTTTTTGAACTATTCAAATTTTTTGATTTTTCAGGTTGTTCACTTTTCATTTTTTCGATTTTTTAAATTTTCGATTTTCGGACTTTCATTTCTCTACTTTTGGATTTCTCTATTTTTCAGTTTTTCAATTTCTCAATTTTCCGATGTGTTATTTATGAGATTTTTTTCCACTTTTCGATTCTCAAATTTTCGATTTCTCAATTTTTCAATTTTTGACATTTTTAAAGTTTCGATTTTTTGATTTTTCGACCTCTCAACTTCTTGATTTATCGATTTTTCAATTTCTATTTTCCACTATTTCGATTTTCAGATTTTTTGATTTTTCAGTTTTTCGATTTTCTAAATTTTCGGTTTTCCGACTTTTTAATTTCTCAATTTTTCGATATTTCAGTTTTGAAATTTTTTATTTTTTGATTTTTCAATTGTTCTTCCATTTTAAAATTTTTCGATATTTCAGTTTTGGGTTTTTTCAATATCTCGATTCTTCGATTTTTCGACTTTGCGACTTTTTGATTGTTTGATTTTTTTACCTTTTTCGATTTTCCAATTTAAGGATTTCTTAAATTTTCGATTTTCCAACTTCAATTTTCAATTTTTGGATTTTGCTATTTTTCAATTTCCGAATATTTCGATTTTTCAGGTTTTTTAATTTTTCGGTTTTTCGATTTTCCGACTTCAATTTCTCAATTTTTCAAAATTTCAGTTCTGGAATTTTAAAATTTGTTGATTTTTTAATTGTTCTTCCATTTTTCAATTTTTCGATATTTCAGTTTTGGGATTTATCAATATTTCGATTCTTTTCGACTTTTTGATGTTTTGATTTTTTACTTCTTCGATTTTCCAATTTTAGGATTTTTTAAATTTTCGATTTTTCGACTTTTGAATTTCGTTATTTTTCTATTTTTCAGTTTCTCAATTTTTCCAAGTTTTATTTATGAGATTTTTTCCACTTTTCGATTCTTTAAATTTTCGATTTCTCGATTTTTCTAATTTTTCGATTTTTCAACTTTCCGATGTTTCAATTTTACGATTATTCAATTTTTTGATTATTTTTATCAATTTTTGAATTTTTGAAGTTTTTAAAGTTTCGATTTTTTGAATTTTCGATGTCTCAATTTATTGATTAATCGGATTTTTCAGTTTCCATTTTGCAATATTTCGATATTTCAGATTTTTGATTTTTCAGTTTTTCGATTTTCTAAATCTTCGATTTTCCGACTTTTTAATTTCTCAATTTTTCGATATTTCAGTTTTGAAATTTTAAATTTTTTGATTTTTCAATTTCAATTTTTTCGATATTTCAGTTTTGGGTTTTTTCAATAATTCGATTCTTCGATTTTTCAACTTTTTGACTTCTTGATTTTTTGATTTTTTACTTTTGCGATTTTTAAATTTTACTTTTTTGCAATTTTTCAATTTTTTTCGATTTCTTAAATTTTTGATATTTCAGTTTTAGGATTAATATTTCGATTAATAAATTTTCAGTTTTTCAAGTTTTCGATTTTTAAATTTTAGATTTTCGATTTTTCAAGTTTTGAGTTTTTAAAATTTTAGCTTTTTCGATTTCTCGTTTTTTCACTTCTTCGCTATTTCTATTTTCCGATTTTTTTAATTTTTACATTTTAGATTTTTTAGTTTTTTCATCTTTCGATTCCTCAATCTTTCGATTTCTCGATTTTGATGTTTGATTTTTCGACTTTCGAAATTTTCAATTATTCAGTTTTCCGAAATTTCGATGTTTTTATTTTTTCGATTTTTCTATTTTAAGCTAGTTCGATTTTTCTGTCTTTTGTTTGTTTCGTTTTTCAATGTTTCAGTTTGTCAATTTTTCTGTTTCGATTTCAGTTTTTGGAATTTTCAATTTTACGATTTTTTAAATTTTGTTTTTTTCGACTTCTCGGCTGTTCAATTTTTCGATTCTTCAATTTTTTAATATTTCGATTTCTCAAATTTTTAAAATTCAGGTTTTCAATTTCCCAACTACTCGTTTCCTTGCTTTTCTGATTTTTCAGTTCTTCGATTGCTATTTTTCAATTTTTCTGATTTTTAAATTTTTATTTCTTAGTTTACTCATTTTTCTGTTTTTCGATATTTTAAGTTTTATATTTTTCGATTTAAAACAATTTTAAACTTTTCGAGTTTTTGATTTCTCAATTTTCCAACTTGGGAATTTTTCAATTTCTACATTTTTCAATTTTTCGAAATTTTAAATTAAAAATTAATTAATTAAAATTTTTAATTCTTCGATTTTTTGATATTTCGGTTGTTTTATCTTTAATTTTTTTATTTTTCAATTTCTCGATTTATCAATATTCCGATATTTTAACTTTTTGATCAATTTTGGACCAATTTTTTAACATGAAGCGTGGAACTAAAGTATATTTACCGATCTACCCATTGTTCGGGGCATTTTCTAGTTTAGATCCAACCAGCGATTAATTGTACTAAGCATAGGCAACCAAAAATACACACATTTTCCTGGCAAAAATTCCAACAACCAAAGTTAATGAATTAATGATCCACGAAACAAGAATTTTCATATTTAAGACAACCATATTTTTCTTGAAAAAACAAAATACTACAAAATTACAAAATGTGAAGGTAAATATCACAGATATATATAAAAAAAATCTTTGTGATGACATATTTTAAATTTTGTAACCTCTCTATTTCACTTACGTCTCCTCCGACCAGTACCGAGTACACCCGATCATGAAGCGCGCTTCTCAAAACCTGTAATTATCAAAAGTCCAACAAAATTACAAGATTACACCAAAACTTTCTTCGGGCATTGAAATTACTTGAAATAAAATCAATGAATCTAACATAGATGTGTTATTTTTCGTTTAATTAGCAACAAAAATCAAATTCTTGAATGAAGGGATATGAAAATAAATGAGCAATTCTCACTATTAATAGTAGCATTAATAGAAAAATGTACGTGATTTCTGAAACAGTTAGTAAATAAGTAAAAATTACATTTACAACCTTCCTGAAAGCAAAGCTTCGCTGAAATTCAGTTTTACTAAAATAATTTAGGCACCCCTTGACTAGAAATAAAACGAGATTGACAATGACCTAAAAAAAAAAAACGCTTGCTCATACTGTACCAAGAACTGGAAGCAACTCGACCGTCTAGAATTTATTAGCACGCCACAGGGGATAATTTATACCCCGATACCATCACTTCAAGTCACAACACGTACCTCATTACCCAACAAATCCATTATTGACCACCATCAAACCACAACGTCCATCCTCAACCACCCCCTGACAAAAAACTACTCGATCAGCCCTCACCTTTGAATTAATTGTTCCCCAGCCTTCGACGTCTCCTGCATTCTTTATTAATGAAGCGAAAGAGAGAGGTCTTTATATTTAGCATCACTCTGAACTTTACCCCGTACGGTGGTATTTACCAACCCTTTAGCCTTTGCTCCAACTTTCATTGGAAAGTTGGTCTAAATTTAGGTCGTTACACATTCTTACAGGTTGATTCAAGGTTCCAGGTTTTGCGCAAATGTGGATAAGTGCAAGTTAAAGAAGGATTCCTGGTAGGGCGTTTGTTTTTCCACACGAAACGCCGATCAAATTATTGTTGGTTAATACGATGCCTTCGGAAATAATCGTTTTTAAATTGCGTTACGTGACGGTGAAAGCTAGTGCTTATCGGGTTGTGGGGGAAAATTGTTGAATAATGATTAATGGTGGATTGGGGTGCGGTGGTGAAATGTGATAGTTTTGGAGGGTGGTGGTTATGAAGGCGAAAATGAAGAAGTAAGTTGATTGTTTTGTGTTTATGATAAGAAAAAAAAATTGGAGATGCCGGGGATCGAACCCGGGGCCTTTCACATGCAAAGCGAACGCTCTACCACTGAGCTACATCCCCACATGGAGTTGGCGCTTGTATTACGTAATTAAAGAACAATATTACAATAAAAATTACTAAATAATTAAAATTGAATGAAAATATGAATGACTGAAAGATAACTTATTACTAAATATTGATAAATGTAGTAATAATAATAATTGTAATAAGTTGTAATTGAGGAATCTTTTTTTAATTTTATTATTCTTTTTTGTTTAATATTATTATTAATATTATTACTAGGTAGGTACTTATATTGATTTTAAAGTCAAAAATATATTGCACAGATCCGTACTGCAAGTTTTATGAAAGTGTGAATGAACTATTATTCTTTTAACTATATAGGTATTTAAATTCGTCACTTTTAGACAGGATTTATTTGTCAAAATTTTGAGATGAAGTAATCAATTTTTTTGTTTTGTTGTTTTAAAATTAAATTGTAAAATGTTGTTATGTAATTATTAGACAGAATAAAAAACTGATTAGAATCAAAAATCAAGATGACATCATAAACCACAAGTACAGTTTGTGTAAAATCTTTTGCTGTATTCAATTTTTTTTAATTGATAGGAATTAGTTCCAAACAATTTTTCTGAGTGCGGTTCTAAGTAAAATATTAAAGTTATTTGATCGGTAGGTAAAAAGTAGGTGTATCGTAAATGATTTCCTATCTTAGTAATTTATATTTTACTCGTAGTTAATTGTATCATCTTCATGTTATATTAAATTCTCGATTTATAGGATAAATACACCTTAAAGTTTATTCACAGTCGAACTTATATTAGGCGAAATTAATATTTGAACACTAAAAGCGTTTGAATTGTCTATACAGGAAATCAAACTAATAATAGAAATAACTAGAACTTTGTAATTTACAATATTTTATAACGAATATATTATTTAGGAAATATTGAATAGTGCATGAGTCCTGTGTCTTTAAATTATTGAAAAGCACTTCTTTACTACCTCCCAGAAATGATAAATGATTATTTTTGACATCGCATGAAGTAAATTAAGAATCAATAGTTAGTGTCAACGCACTTCTGCTTGACCCTGCTCAAAATTAATCTTGTTGACTGTTAAAGGAAACGTAACACAATAATGCAACTTTAAATACAGACTAATAAAAAAATTGTTCGCCAAAACTTTTTTTTATTTTCGAAAAATTTTGCTTTTTGGATCAGAAACTTTTATTACTAATTATTATTATAATTAGTTAGAATTTTCAGACACAAACGTACTGAAAAACCACCTTAAATGTGGCCAGAATTGATCTTAAGTCCCTTGAAAACAAGATTCGCCAAAAATTCGATTAAGAAAATTTTCAAAAATAGATATTACTGGTGACAAGTCATATTTTTGAAGTCATTGGCCTCAACATAAAAAATATTTACTACCAATTTATTAATAAAATCATTTTGGGGCTAAATTGTAAAAAGTCCAGTTTTTTTTAGAAAATTTTTAAATTTTAATTGTACAATTTTAATGTCTAGTTAGGCAGGCCGTTTTTGACTTAATCTGTAACATAAATCGCTTCAATAATTTTTTTGAGCGTTTTGTATAAACAATTTTAAATCTGTTGGTGGGAAAACAAAATCAGAGGAGGAAAAAGCAAACGAAAAGGAAATCCCAAAACGGCCTTAATTATGAATGTGCTAAAAGATACAAAAAATATTAACAGGCAAAGTAAGAAAAATAAGAATGGGGGAAAAATGAAGGAAAGGTATTAAGCTACAAATTTTAGTTTAATCTGAATTTTTTGTATTTCGAAAATTCAAATAACAAAATTTAAAATTTTTCGGGCCCCTGACTGAGTAAAAAATGTAAAAAATTGCCTCTCTATTTATTAGAAAGCACCAATAAACCACTTCAGATTGTGGTAATGATATCTTACACCCGATTGCTCTTTTGAAAGGAACAAAGTTTCATGAATCAAACGCACATGATCACATTTTACACTATATAATCTGGAAAGTATTTGGTGGCTCCCTGTACTGTTTTCAATTTACTTTTACCACCGGAAATATTAAAAATTTTCAGAATTAGAGTACATAAATATCAATGTTGGAAACTAGTAATTTGCACAAAAAAATCAATATTATTTTCAAAATCCGGAGATATTTTACGTTGACTCAAAGAAAAATTTTCGGAAAAAAGCTCCACATAGCTAAATTTTTGCCTTTACCGATTTCCCGATTGTTCGACTTCTTGAATTTTCGATTTTTCGACTTTTCGATTTCTCGATTTCTCGATCCTTCGATGTTTTAATTTCTACAATGTTTCAGTTTTTTAATTTTTCGATGTTTAGATTTTTCGATTTCTCTGTTTTTCGACGTTTAGACTCTTCGGCCTTTCGATTTTACAATTTTTAGATTTTTCAATTCTTCGATTTTCCAATTATTCGTCATTTCAATTTTGGAATTCTTCAATTTCTCAGTTTTTCAGTTTTTCGATTCTTCAGTTATCCGAATTTTTCGGTTTGTTAAGTTTTGGGCTTTCGATTTCTGCATTTCTGTTTTGCGATTTTTGAATTCTTCAATATGTATTTCTATTTTACAACTTCTCGAATTTTTAAAATTTTGATTTTTCCGTTTTTGATTTTTAAAATTATTAACACTTCAATTTTGGGTGTTTTTCAATTCCTGGATCGAATTATGTATTAATTTTAGATTTTTCAGTTTTTTGATGTTTTGGTTTCTCAATATTTCGATTTTTCGACTTCTTGGTTTTAGATTTTTCAATTTGTCAATTTTTCGATTTTTAAAATTTCGTAATTTCCGATTTTTCATCCTTGCGGTTTTCAAATTTTTGATTTTTCAGTTTTTTAATTATTCAATTTCTCGATTTTCCGATTTACAATTTTTCGATTGTCTGATTTTTTTTTTAATTTTAAATTTTTCAATTTTACTCTTTTCGATTTTTCAATTTTAGCCTTTTCTGATTTCCCAATTTTGCGATTTTTCAACTTCTCGATTTCTCGATTTCTCGCTTTTTTGATATTTCGATTTTTATGTTTCAGTTTTTAAACTTCTCGATGTTTCGATTTTTCTATTTCTCGGTTTTTCGACAATTTGACTTTTCGGATTTTCGATTTTCCAATTTTTCCATGTTCCAGTTTTAAAATTCTTTAGTTTGACAATTTTTCAGTTTTCAACTTTTCATTCAATTTTTCGATTTGTTAAGTTTTCGATTTTCGGTTTCTCGATTTCTCAGTTTTCGATTTTTCAGTACTTTAGTATTTCTATTTTTCAAATTCTCGAATTTTTAAATTTTATATTTTTGATTTTTAAAATTTTCCACATTTCAATTCTGGGAATTTTTCGATTTCCGTTTTTTTCAGATTTTCGACTTCTTAGTTTTAGATTTTAAATTATTCGATTTTTAAATTTTCGATTTTTCAATTTTGACCTATTCTGATTTCTCAGTTTTTCGATTTCTCGGTTTTTCGATTCCTCGATCTTTGATGTTTTAATTTCTACAATGTTTCAGTTTATGAAGTTTCGATGTTTCGATTTCTACGACGTTTCAGTTTTTGAAATTTTCGATGTTTCGATTTCTCCAGACGGCTAACCTAAATTTAACTAAAATAAAAAGTTTTGTAAAAGAATAAATATTAAGATTGTAACGAAATCATTAAAGAGGGATAGTGGAGAGCTTCCACATCTATTTTATCATCTTATCAATTATCGAGATTTGTATTTCCTTTGTTCTTTGCCTTTTGTTATCCGTCCTTCGTCCTGTGCTTCTTTCGTGCTATCGATCTTTCGTCCTTTTGTCCTCTAGTCCGATCGTCTCCTCATTCTTTCATCATTTCTTCTTATCGTTCTCTTGTCCATATCCTCTCGTCCATTACTCCTCCAGTCCTTGAGTTCTATTAAATCTTTACTCTGGTCCTGTCGTCCTTTCGTCCTGTCACTTTGTCTCCTTTAGTTCCGGCGTTCTCCCCCTTGGCGTGCGCCGATCCCTTCGAGCTTCAGTCATCCTTTACTGCCTTCGTTTTTCGTTATTTCTTTTCTTGGTCCTGTCGTTTTTTTATCATTTCGTCTTTGTGCCTTTTCTCTTTTAATCCTTTAATCCTTTCATCCTATCGATCTTTCATTCTTTTGTCCTCTCGTTAGATCGTTCTCTCGTCCCCTCGTCCTTTCGTCGTCTTGTCCTCTCATCGTATCGTCCTCAGATCTTTTCTTTCTTTAGTCCTCCGGCCCTTCTTTCGTCCTGTCGTACTGTAGTCCTTTTGTCCTGTCGTCTTTTCTTTTTGTTCTGCTGTTCTCTCTAACCTTCGTTCGCTCGTCCATTCGTCATTTTGTCCTTTTGTCCTTTCGTCTTGTGAACCACGGATTCTCTGGTCCTACCGTGTGTTCATTATTTCGTGCTGTCGTCCTTTGATCTTTTCATCTTTTCATCCTTTCATCTTTTCGGCCTTTAGTTCTTAGATCTCTCGTTTTTTAATTTTCTTTTGTATTAGTGCTTTAGTTCTATTAGTCTTTTCATCTTTTCGGATTTTCGTCCTTTGGTTCATTAATGCCTTTTTTTTTCGTGCTTTTGTCCTTTCGTTTTTTATCCTTACTACCTTTAATTCCTAGAAATTCCGTCGTTTAGTCTTACATTAATGCTTTAGTTCTATTAATTGTCTGACCCTTTCTCTAGCCCCTGGGTCCTTTGCCCCTTGAATCGTTTGTCCTTTATTCTTTCAGCATTTTGTCTTTTGTTCCTTCATCCTTTTGTTTTTTGTTCTTTTGTTTTTTTGTCCATTGTTCCTTCACTCTTTTCTTCACTCTATAAATCGTCTTTTATTTCTATTAGTTCTTTAGCTTTTTTTTAGTTCTTTAATTTTTTGGTCCATTCCAAGTCTTTTAGTCCTTTGGTCCTTCCGTGTTTTCGTTCTTTCGTGCTTTTGTCCTCTCGTTTT